GGGCGGTTCCCCTCACGGAAGATGTGCGAGATCTGAAAGCGAATCAACAAAAGAGTGGCCCTAATATGCATGAGCAGATGCTGAATCTGCCATGTGCCTTAATGGCCAAAGTTCAAGAGAGTGATGACAACAACAATATTCAACTCTATCCAAATGTGAAAGGAGATTGAGGCAGCAATCTGAAGCGCCTGAACCTCCGCGAGGAGGCCCGAAAAGGGGCATGGAAAACGTTAATAAGAGCACTGCTATGGTCCCTAATCAGGCCCCCACCTCCGGCGGCTCCGGCAAGTCGGTCAAATGATCCGTCATTGTTTAGCTTAACCCAAAGAGGCTCGGGTCTCAGCCAAACAACAGCCCTGGGGTGTGGATGTTGGACATGCGGCTGTGGAGGTGGTGCAAAACGATGAGGTGGCGTGCAACCTGTCCAGTCTCTTGACGTGAGTCTGCCCAGAGCGATGAGGAGAGATAGATGTTTGTCAACCTGCAAAATAATATGGGAACGCAAAAAGGTAATATCCCTATGCTTCGCATTAATCCTTTCTGTCCAGGTGGACCAGAGGATCAGACAAAGAATATGGAAGCCCACGTGCCTATCGTGTGTGCTCTGTGTGAAAAAATTCAGAAGCTCAAAGAAGTTATCTATAGTGGGTAGAGGTATATGTGTATAACTGAAATATTGTTCTCACACTCTCCTCACAGTCTTGCTCTCAAGAAACAAATGGTTAAAGGTCTCAGTCTGAAAAACGCCGATCTCAGCACAATAATAGCAACGTGAGGGGAAGGAGAACCCACTCGTCTACATCACAGTATCAATCTGTAGGCGGCACAAGAGAAGGCGCCAAAGAAAAACAGAGATGTTTGGATTAAGTAGGTCGGTTCAGATGGCCCCAAAAGAAGGTTAGGCCGGTTACTCAGCCGTACTTCTCCCAAACCGATCCACGCAGAAATCTCCATGGCAAAGACTGTAGGACTAGTTCTCTCAACTCGATTATTAATTATTTTCTGATCCTCGACTATCATAAACCCCTTATTTAAAGAGTTTTATTTGATATGTAATTCCTTCTTGAACCGGCCACCGAATGACCTCGAACCAGTTTTGTTCACTGAAATGACCTTAACCTACAATAATAAATAGAATGTAATCACGTAATATGAATGCAACAATTCATTCATGAAACGATTTTTTCAAAATCTCGAGCCTTGGCACCTTCTTGAAAAAAACCGATTCATGAATGAACTAACACATGTCAAATAATGAATGGAATATTAATCTATTTAATGTGAATGTAAAAGGACATACTTTGATTTTGAATACATATATCCAATTAATGCATTCATTCAAAAGCATAAAATAAGTATAGTGGATTTTAACGACAGCTACATTAGATTCGACTCCTTATTTTTAATGATTGTACCAACTACAAATAAATTATAATAAAGAATATTATTCATTTTTTCTAAATTACATATTAATGTGGTGCCCAGTCTTAATCGTCGGCTTCATAGTTTATCTTCAAGTTCAAACTCTAGCAGCTATGGTTGTTCGTCAGCCTTAATTTTTCTATTTTTTATTTTTAATTTATATTCACTTGATTGTGTCCACATGGCAATATGGATGCAACGTCACGCCGAAAAATCGTAAGTGGGTCGACTGAATGCCACATCTGACATAAATGAAGGCAAGAATCTCATCCATTTGCACAAAATTGCCACAAAAAAAAGTCAATGTACCAAACTGTTAGACATGTAAATATTAAGATTGTATTATAGGCTAGGTTTAGGTCCTATTTAGGCTCATGCCCATCTATGTATCTATATATATGTGTACTTCTCTTTGTGAATAATACGACATATATTTTTCTCAAATTCTTACATGGTATCAGACTAGGTTTAAGGTCCAATATAGGTTGGTCTTTCGTCGCTCGTCTCCGGCCACCTCCAACTCTCACCTCCCATACCATCGTCTTCGGCGTCGCACGGTGACCAATCGCCGGAAATTTCAGCCGGAAAGGCTGCGCGTGTAGCTCACACGCGCCTCGTCTCTGTTTCAGCTTCGCTATTTTTTGGATCTTGAGATTTGTGATTCCTCTGATGGCTTCTATTTGTCTCAAGCCAAGTATGCCTCTGATCTTCTTGCTCGGGCCGGTCTCACGGATTGTCAGATAGCTTCCACACCTCTTGATTATGATGTTCGTCTTACTCCGCTGGATGGCTCTCTTCTTGAGGATCCTACGTTATATCGTCAGCTTGTTGGGAGTTTGATATATTTGACTGTCACTCGGTCTGATATAGCTCATGTTGTTCATATTGTGAGTCAGTTTATGGCTACTCCGAGAACCACACATCATTCTGCTGTGTTGCACATTCTTCGCTATGTGAAGGGCACTCTATGCATGGTTTACACTTCTCAGTCTGTTCTTCCTTGACACTTAGCGGCTATTCTGATGCAGATTGAGCTGGAGATCCTACTGATCGTCGTTCCATTACTGGGTACTGCTTTTTTTTTGGGTGATTTTCTCGTCTCTTGGCGTAGTAAGAAGCAAACTTTAGTCTCCAGATCGAGTGCTGAGTCTGAGTACCGCGCTCTTGCTGATTCCACCTCTGAGGTCTTATGGTTACGTCGACTACTTGTTGATCTTGGTGCTCCTCAGTCGTCGTCTACTGCTTTACACTGTGATAGTCAGAGTGCTATAAAGATGTCTCATAATGATACCTTTCATGCGCGCACCAAGCATATTGAGATTGATTGTCACTTTATTCGACAGCATGTTGCACATGGGACTGTGCAGCTTGTTTTCGTCTCTTCTACGGATCAACCAGCGGATGTCTTCACGAAGTCTCTCTTTCCCGGTCGTTTTTGTTTACTTCTTAGCAAACTCAAGTTGATCTCCACGATACCACCTTGAGTTTGAGGACGGGTGTTAGTTATGTGTTAGACATGTAAATATTAAGATTGTATTATAGGCTAGGTTTAGGTCCTATTTAGGCTCAGGCCAATCTGTGTATCTATATATATGTGTAGTTGTGTACTTCTCTTTGTGAATAATACGACATATATTTTTCTCAGATTCTTACACAAACCTAAACTCGAAACAAATAAATAACAAAAGTGCAATTAGGGTAAACATAGTGAACGAAAAGTGTAATTTTTCACACCTCTCAATTTCAGTACCAACTATTAAAACACTTGCAATTTGAGTACCCGACCTTTAAGTTGCTGTTAAAACTAATCATTTTTTTTAAACATAGTTTTTTCGAATAGTTTTAACAAAAACTTGAAGACGGGTATGAAAACTGCGAGTGTTCTAATTGAGACAACTTGAATATGGGGTTGCTGAATTATGAAATTACACTTTAATCTTGATACTGAAATTGCTATTTACCCAAATTATTTACATAATAAGTTTTAAGGTTCGTCTAATATTGATCTAGGTAACTTTTGTTTTGCATGTAAGTACAATACCTTTCCTAAGACATGAAACTAACAAACAAATGATTAACATACTTATTCGTTCGTCGAGTGACGTGGCAAGATCCTGAGCATCGGCACCTTCAACCAGTCGACGGGCACCGGTGGCTTCCCTTTAACTAACTCGGTCGGCCTTATCACGGTCTATGACTCCAAAAATATGGAAATGAGAGTGATTATGTCCCCATCGCTCGCGAGTCGTAGCTTCCCTTTAGCTAACTCGGTGGCTTCCCTTTACAAACTAATAAAGCCTGACTTTGGCTCGACTCATTTAATAAGCGAGTTGAGTTCGACCTCGTTAAGTTAAGGTTCATTAAAGTTGGAAAATAGAATTTTTTATATAATTTTCTACAACTCGTTTTGCTAAGATTCAAATTTGTCGAGGCTAGAGTTCAGCTTGTTAATCAATAAATGAGATTTTGGTTTATCTATCTGCTGGTTTTGTTAACAAGTTAGACTCAACTAGCCCGTTTATACTAATCAATTACACTCAAACTCTCAAATTTTTATATTATCTAATCATTTACCGGAATGTCACTTTCCCATAGAGCAAAGAGCGTGTCCCCGAGTCGAGCCACGCTAGTGTTCGCCACTCCAAGCTTGTTGTACTATCCCATGGCCCGACAGGCCATGTTGACAATGTTTCGGGCTAAATCGAGTTTGAACTCGTTGAAAACTCGTTAAGTTAACAAGTATAGTTTAGCTCGAACTTGATTCGTTAATATAAATAAAAGAGTGAAACTCGAACTCGAGTATCATGAGCTCGCGGTTCGGCTTGGTTCAACCACACCCTACTTTAAGATATGATATACTATTATGTAAAATTTAAAAACCAACAATAAAAACAACAAAAGAAAAAGGAAATATGGTTAAGAAAGTAAATACACATTAGCTAGGGATTCGGGGGCCCAACTGTGTAAATTCACACAGCACCCTCAGCTGTATCTTTTAATGACCATTGGATCATGTTCCTCTAATCTAATGGTCCAGATTTTCTCTCTTTTTTTTTAATCACAACATAAATAAATAGCTTCTTCAATTCACTTTTTACTTCCTTTTCTTTTTTCTTTTTTCCTGAATACACTTTTCACTTCCTGCTGCACCCTTCAACCAAAAAAAAGCCTAGAATTGATTAAAATTTTGTAAAATGTCAATGAAGACCATGAACAAGCAAACAAATATGAGTTAAATCCTGAGAAATAGTTGGAGTACGGGTTCATAGATTGGAATAACTTTGAAATGGAAAGGTATTTTATCTTTCTTCTTTTTTGTTTTTATTTACACATTTTATACCTTTTTTCAAGATTTTTTTTTTTTAGATTTTATTTGTATTTTGTAGGATTGATGCTATGAATGATTGAGGATTTAATTTAAGCATACCAAATATTGATGATTCACATGAGTGCTTTCAAATTGGAATGACGTTCATTTATATGGATGATGCTTGGGAGTTGATTGATAAAATTTCAAATATTAATTAAAATATAATTGCAAAGAAGTAATATAATTGCAATACACTTTTTAAAATAAAAAAATATCAATCCATTATTTTTTTAGGTAATATATAATTGAAAATATGAAACTTGTAAAATTTTGAATAATTATACTTTTCAAAAAATTAGATTAAAAAACGTAACCAAAACAATTGAGTTAGTGTACATATATTATTTGTAAAGGTGTAATATATCATTTAGATAATATATTAAAAATTTTTTAAAAAATATTAATCCATTGCGTTTTTAGGTAATATATTAAACTTTTCAGTCCACTGTTTCTAAGTGATTTTACAAATTTGTTACATAAAGAAATTAGATTAAAAAAATTATAATATTATGAGCAATTAAATATTTAAAAATATAACAATTCCACTTTCATATAAATTCAACCGAAGGCTATTATTAGAAGAGTGTGAAACATTCTCTCTCCCTCTTACATTTTAATTTAGTAATTAATACAAGTTTATTCTGTGTTTTTTAATTCGAGTCTCTTTTGTGATTAAAGAAAAAAGATAAAATTTAGACCATTAGATTAAAAATAACTGATCCTATGGCCTTAAAAATAACATGATCCTATGGCCTTAAAATACAGGTGCTGTGTAAGTTTGCACCGTTGGCCCCCGAAATCCCCCCAAATCCATTAGTTAGTGTGCGCACACAAAAGTTCCGACGGAGAAGAGACCTGCACGCTGCACCCGTGAGCTCGGCACAATGGACGAGGAAGGTGGAGCGTCGAGGCTCGGGAAGAAGCCGTCTGACAACGGCGGCGAGGTCGATTACAAGACTAAGTCAGGCACAGCATGGTCCCACTCGTTTCTGAACCAGAAGCCGTGGCACCCGCTCTCCTACCCTAACCAGCGCCGCAAGTGGATCGCCGAGCAGACCCACGCCCAGCGGCAGCGCCGGGCCGAGGAGGTGGCCCGTGAGGTACGCACTCATATGACTCGTACTCTTTTCCTTTCGTTTTATAGGGATTTTCCCCCCCTCCCTTTTTTAGCTGCTGCTTGAATTTTTGGAATTGGAAGAAACTTGGGCGAGTTGGGTTGCTATTAGGGTTATTGTCTAAAATTTCCAATTTGTGTTTCCAATTTTATGAAATTCGTCGGATTAGGTCGATAATGAATTTTGGATTTGGAAAAGATTTGGGCGAGTTGGGCTGTACGATTGGTGTTATTGTGCTCGGGTTTTTTTGCCTAGGAGTGAACATTTGGTGATGGCTGCTGTTTATCGCCTTGTTTGGGCTTCCCTTGTCTGAAAATTTCCGATTTGTGTTTCGAATTTTGTGGAATCCATCGGATTAGGTCAATAATGAAATTTTGGATTTGGAAGAGATTTGGGCGAGTTGGATTGTGCAATTGGTGATATTTGTGCTTGGTTTTTTTTGCCTAGGAGTGAATTTCCGGTGATGGCTTGTTGTTTTTTGGCCTTATCTGAGCTTCCCCTTTCTGAAAATTCTCCATTTGTGTTAGGAGTTTATGGAATTCTTCGGAGTAAGTCGATAAAATAATCTGAGTTTTGATTTTGGTCGAAAGAAAAGGTGATTTTTTCGGTAAAAAACCATCTTTGTTGAGTTGCCTAATTTCACTATAATGCCTGTTGATAGAGTACTTAAACCTATATTTAGCTGTTATTTATCATCCTTTTCTGTTCTTTACAACAGTATGCCCAGGAGCAGGAATTTCTTCGGCAGACGGCACTTATCTCCAAGAAAGAGAAAGAGAAGGTATCAATTATGTTGAACTATATGAAGGATATGGTCTATATTAGGACCCCTGATCAACCAAAGAGAAGGAAAATAGAGGATGGAATTCTTGGCATATGCGTAGATACATAGTTTAGGTTATGGGAACGCACATTCTTGTGTGAATTTGACTGGATTCTCTTTTGCCTGTGATGCTCAGCTAGAATTGATGAAAGCTGTGAGCTTTATGTATGTCAAACCTCCCGGATACAACGCGGAAAGTGCTAAAGCTGCTGAGATTGCCGACGAGAAGAGAAAGCAGGAAAGTGAGAGAATTGTGCAGGAACCATCTCTAGAAGGGACCTCTTCTTCAATGTAATAGTTTATACCTAATGCTTTTGTTGCGTACAGCTAACAAATTTATTACTAAATTATTGTTTTCTTCTACGAAGAAAGTGATTTCTTAATTTAGATTTCATTTGTCAGACTAACAAGCTATCGTGTTGCTTTCCTAGGAAGACGGAAACTACTCCCTCTGTGGTTGAGAAAAAGAAGCCGAGGCCAAAAGATATTTATGGGCGTCCTTTACCGACAGAAGAAGAATTTGAAGTCCTTAAAAATGCTCCAAGGTTTGTTTCAGCGTTTCTTTGTGGATTATCAGTTGACGGTATTCAAATTCTACGATGGACTGGAAAGAAATATTATGATTATTTGTCTACTTGCTAATTTATATTATTGTCATGAGAATAATTTTGAGATTTATATAGAGGAAAGGAGTCCAATGTTATTGTTGATGTGTATATTTCATGGGAAGAGGGTGGGTGGATGGTTTTCGGGGGATTGTACTTTAGTATTTTAAGGAATAGTATGATAAAATCCTCTCTCATGCCTGATCATTTGATCTTTACATTCGGGTTTCACTTGTTGAAACAGATGGTCAATAACGGTGTTGTTTTCCAGGTTAGAGACTGGCGTTGCTGGTAGAGCAAAACCATTTGGTGTTGAAATTCGCAATGTAAAATGTCTCAGATGTGGTAACTTTGGGCATCAAAGTGGTGATCGTGAGTGTCCATTAAAAGATGCTATAATGCCTAATGAGGAAAATCGCTTGAAAAGGGATGACCCTTTAACTGCCATCCTGGCTCAAACTGATCCAACTGAGGTATTCATTTGAATATCTTAACATGCTTTGCCCGTATCACGCTTTATAATTGAATTCCTATTTTCCCATTCGGCTTTGTGTTGATTGCTTGAATTCTGGATTATACTTTCCACCTAAAATACTTTTTGGGATTAGAAAATTTTCATTTGATTACAATAGATGTTAAACTGTCACGAAAGAGTTGAGAACAAACATATCACTAAATCTGTGCTATTGAGAAACTATGGGCCTGTTTTTGGTTAGATTATATCCGTCTTTTTGGAATTATTCATTCTTTCTTAAGACTTCCGATTATTCTCTTATTTATTTATATAATTATATTTAGTAGCACACAGCTGGTGAGAATGCTTTCGACCCTCTTATTCAAAATTAGATATAATGATTAATGATTGCTTATCAGTTTTCAGAACTTGAAAATTTTCCCCAATTTTTTTAGTTAGTTCAAGACTAGGAATGTTATCTTAAGACCCATTCAGGGTGACCTTTAGATGGTCGGCTCGTGTTGGATGATCTGTGCTTTTTC